TCCTAGGCTGGCTGTCTCAGAGAAGACAAGGAAGCACAAAGTCCCCACCGTTTGGAAGCACCGTTAGATCAGTCTGGGAAGTCAAAATGTTCAACGACATGAATTAACAGTGAGGTTCCCATCTAAGTTCTCAGACCCTTAAACGCTCTTGGGTCTCCCAGTTCTGATCTCTGAAAAGATGTGAGGGCACAAAAAGCCAGGAGGACTTTCACAGGAGGTTTGACCGGGCCCAGGCCTCAAAGAATGAGCAGACTGGGATGGGGTGCATGATGGGGGCAGGGGGCCATCACAGGCAGAGGCAAGAGCTGCAGCCTCAAAGGAGTCCAGTTGGACATGAGACATTGGACGCTGCCTGACCAGGGCACAGGATTTGAATTGGGAGAGAGAGAGAAGTGAGGCTGGAGGGTCAGCAGGTTCAGATCACGTGGGGCCTTGAAAGCCATAAGGAAGAAACTGACCTGTTCATTTACTCAGCAGGGAAAATGACATCAATGATTCCCTCTTAGTCCTTAGGCATTTAGCAGAACATAAGCCAGATGGAGAATCAAAAAAAAAACAACAACAAAGACCTACCCCTAGACCCAGATGGCACCAAGGCCTAGAGTTAGGCCCAAGACCCTTGCAAATGATCCCAGGGCAGGTCCAGTCTGTCCTGCAGTCACTTAGGCAGTTCTGAAAACTGGCAGGGTCTTGATGCCTGCACAGTGCCTCCCCCCATCCATTCTTCAAGCACCTCTCAGATGGCCGTGCTGGGGCTGCCTCCCACCATCACCCTGAAGTAGTGCTAGTGGTGGCAGCACGTATTAAGAGCACCCGGCCCCTCAGAGATCCTCAGGGAGGCGTGGGGACAGGTTGCCCAGGTTCACTCAGGACGGTTGTTCACCCTCTGCCAAGGGGAAGAGATGGGGCTGGAGGTGATGCTCTGAGCTGATGAAGCCAGAAATTCTTTGACACTGAATATCCCTCTCCAGAGGCAAAAAGGGATAAAAGAAAATTAAGACTCTGAATATAAATCTGGTAAAATAAAAGAAGTTCTTCATTTTTCATTTTCATTTCATACCAGGAAATATAGTACATAGCTTGGTTGTAAAGACCAGTCAGAGGAGAAACTGGTAATGATCTGGGAGTGATCTGAGGAGCACCTCAGTTCCCCTGCCCCACTGCCTTTTTTCCATTATTAGACCCTTTCTGATACACAGATGCCCCATTAGAAACTCCACAGTCTTCTTTTTTTTGAATTGATATAGTTTTTTCTTTATTGAAATATATGTAACACTGTGTAAAGTTAAGGTGTACAACATGTTAAATTGATACATTTATATATTGTAACGTGATTTCCCTGTAGCAATAGTTAGCGTCTCTATCATGTCACAGAATTATCAGTTCTTTTTTGGCATGGGAGTAATTAAGATCTAGTCTCTCAGCACGTTTGATGATTACAATAAAATGTTGTTGTCTTTATTCACCATACTGTGCATGAGATCTCCAGGACTTCTTCCTTCTTTCTCGTGGCTGAATAATACTCCATTGTGTATACATACCACATCATCTTTATCCATGCATCCATTGATGGGCATTTAGGTTGTTTCCATATCTTGGCTATTGTGAATAATGCTGCATTGAACATGGGAATACAGATATCTCTTCAATATTCCATTATCATTTCATTCAAGTATATACCAAGGAGTGGAATTGCTGGATCATATGATAGCTCTATTTTTAATTTTTTGAGGAAACTCTATACTGTTTTCCATAGTAACTGTACCCATTTACATTCCCACCGATAGTGCACAGGAGTCCCTTTTCCCCACATCCTCTCCAATACTTGTTCTCTCTTGTCTCCTTCAGGAAAAAACTCCACAGTCTGGTTTTACTGAGCCACCTGGGGGTTTCCCAACATTCCCCAACACACTGTCCTCCCCAGATCGCCGATCCTCCCGCTGGCCTGAACGCCTCCCTCCCTTCTCTGCCAGGTGGACTCCTACTCCTTCTTGACTCAGTTCATACCTGGCCTGGGCTGCTCCCACAGCACTGCATCCATCCATCTGTATCACCTGCTTCACTGTTCTGTGATTATCTATGTAGAGGCCCATGCTTCCTCTTCCCACCCCAGTCAGTCTCTGAGAACAAAGGTCAGTCTTATTTTGTATTCCAAGTCTTTACAGGGTGCACCTGTATGAATGAGTCCTAAATGGAAACGCTAGCACCGTTATCACCTACTGGTATTTCCCCCATACCAGTTTGTCAAAATGGGCAGAACTGTATACAGGAGAATATCAGGAAAGAGAAGGGAAGTCATGCCTTGGGGAAATATATGTGCATCTTTATCTCATCAGTGAGGTAGGTGGCCACATACAGGATAAACTAGCAAGAGCTTCCTTGCTAAGGGAGGTAGGACACCCACATGGAGAGACCCTCCCAACCTGACTACTGATGCCAAAAAGAGTAATCATATTCACAGTGAGTAAGGAGTCTTACGATATTGACTCTCCATTTGAGTGCTTCCTATGGCTATGACATCTGACATGTCTGATCTCATTTAATCCACACAACAAACTGGGAGGTAGGTTATGCGCCTCCCAACTGCACAGGTAAGGACCCAGACTCAGAGCAGACAAGTAACTTGCTGACTGTCACGCAGCTGGCCCCTGGAAGAGTCAGGATTCAAACCCACTGTCCACCCCAAAGCTCTTACTCTCAACTGTGCTGTTGAACAAGAAATCAGGCTGAAACTGCAGGTCCCATTTGGTGGGAAATCTTGTTTATATACATTCACACTATCTTACTCAAACCCTTTTGGACCATAGGAAGGCATTAAATAACTACTTATAGATAAACAGAGATCTTAATAAATTCACACACCCCTTTCTAAAGTCAATTCTCTCCATGAACAAGAGCCTCCCTGTGGGGTGGGAGATGCAGATGCCAGACTCCTGAAGGAGGTGACATTACGGAATGGAGGGTGATGGGAGAAGAGAGAGACAGAGGCTGCACGGACAAGCCGCCCATCCTGCAGGCAGCTCCCACTCCTGCAGATTCTGTCTTTACAAAGCCCCTCTGCCACCCACAGCTACTGCTGGAGTTCATGACCCTGCTTACCCCCATCCAGTCCCCTGCAACTGCCTCACAAGGATTCCCCTGCTCTCAGCCCCTTCCATCCAACACAGCCCTCTCACCAGTGCAGCCTAACCTCACTGAAGCACAGCCCAGATCCTGCTCTGACAATTCGGAGACTCCCGTTGCCTTCTGACTGAAGTCTAAAATCCTCAGTTCAACTCAAGGACTTTCTTACTCAGCCTCCAACCAACCAACCAGATTAATCTTCAGCTACTGGCTCAGACACCCCAGGCTTCAGCTTCAGGCCCAGAACACAACTCACTGCATCCCAAATGAGCCTTTCTCTCTCCACTCTACTGTTTCTCACTCTTTCCCTCCTCCTAGAAGACCACTGTCTTCTCTCAGGCTGCCAGCAAACCTTCATGGAGCCCCTACTAGGAATTAGGCACAGTCATGGCTGATAAGATTAGACTTCTCCTTCAACACTCGATTCGAATACTGACTTTTACATCAGTTGTTCATCAGTTTCCTGATGAAAAGTAACTTCATCCTTCTCTATGTGTTCAAATATTTACAATATTTGCCTTGAACCACAGGCATACATCTGCAACCCCCAGCCCTGTGAGCTCCTTGGGGCAGGGAGTATGGCAATCATGGCAGTGAGCCCCATCATTGATCATGGCGGGCTTCAATCCAATCTGTATTGGACTGACAGTTCCAGAGTTCCTGGATCATCATTCCCCATTGGCACGTAAACCACAACAAAGAATGTATGTTATTGAAACAATCATCAAAATTTCAAGGAATAAATTCTCTGAAGCATCTAATTATTGCAAAGACAGACTAGAAATCACCCAGTATCCCGGATAATTTTGATTTACCTAACATTTTTCCTATTATGTACCCACACAATTAAACAGACTACATAAATCCATAATACTTTGTGCGATTAGACAGAGGCACTATGCAAGTCACGACAAAGAGGATTGAAAGTATACCCTGCATTCCCTCCTGGGCTTAGACTCTAACCTCTAATGTTAAAAATAAAAGTAGATGTTGGGTTTGAGACCCATTCACTCCATCAGCCAGTTGGAAACCATTTATTAAACACCCCTTGTGTCAAGTCTTACAGTTGGGCTATAAAGTAAATGGATATAGCGCCTCCCTCCAGGTATTTCTGTTCTGGTCAGGAATACAAGACTTACTCAGTTGAAAGAATCAAGCTAAACAACGTAAGCAGGGACAAGTAATGTAAATTATTAACAGGAATGCTGAGGAAAAATCAAAGTAAAAGAAAAATCCAAACAAATTGAGGGTAATTAGGAAAGACATGTTTGAATCATCTTGCTTTCTCAGTGGAGACTAAGAATGAGCCTGAGAAAACCCTGTAGTAACCATCTTAGGGTGCCAGGTCCAGATGGTTCTAGGGGATGGAGGAGACCCAGTGTGCAGGGTTTCTAATCCTTTAGGCCTCTCATTTATTCATTTATTATTCAACAAATATTTGTTGAGTGCTTACCATGTGCCAGGCACTGTACTAATGCCCAGAATACAGTGATGAACAAGAGAGACATGGTCCTCATGAACTAGTGGAGTTGGGAATGCACAACAGGAGAGCGTGTTTTTTAATACTAAAACTTCATGCCTTCAAATGTAGGTTAGTACTCAAGTGAGTTGAGTTCCTATGCACAGCATGGATGATGATCAGGATGGAGGGGTGGTGGTTCAGAGGCAGGATGGACAACAGGAGAAAACCTTACTGAGAATAAATATCAGTCATAACTTCATTTCAAGGTTGAAAAGTTTAAGATGGTGTGGCTGGGCTAGTGGCATAGTGGTTAAGTTCACACACTCCACTTCAGTGGCTGGGAGTTCACCAGTTCAGATCCCAGGTGTGGACCTACACACTGCTCATGCAACCATGCTATGGTAGCATCCCACATACAAAATAGAGGAAGACTGGCACAGATGTTAGCTCATGGTCAATCTTCCTCACCAAGAAAAAAAAACGTTTAAGATGGAGGTTTTGGGGGGCAGCCACGGGGAAGAAGGAAGGAAAGGAGATCCTGCCCATGAAAGGGACACCACAGAAGCTTCTGCATCAGGGTCAGCCCCCACCCCCAAGCTGAGACTTGGCATTGCTGACATGGATGGCAGAGCCAAGAAGTGACAAAAAAACAATGAAATGGGGCTGCCATCAATGAGGAAGCATCGTGCAATGCCAGCACTTGATTTGGAAAGTATTCATAAGGCTTTCTTGGCTAGGATGTTTAAGATAAAAATAGAAATATTCTCATCAATGATTTATAAGATTGCTTTAGAGAGATGGGGCAGAACCCAGTATAACAAAGAGCAGAAAAGCAGTGTCCTAACTTGTTACTGGGCTGGAGATCACGGGCCCAGGGTGAGAAAGCTGTGACAGGCGCTCCTTGTCCCTATCACAGAAATTAGAGTTGAGAAAAGCTATCAGTTTAGCTGGTCTGAACCTCAGAACCCCAGCCACTTTTGGATTCTTCCAACTACAATTTTATTCTTCTCTGGGGTTCATGCCTCCAGATGCGATACCTGAAAGTTGTGCATGTATTGTGGAGAATAACAAAAATATTAACAAATTAGCAGCCAATCAGATAGGAACATTCTTCCAAACAGAGAGCATCTTCTTCGGGATTCCATTCTTGGAAGAGGAGGCGATGGGACCAAGGAATGAAATAAGAACAGATTCAGAAAGAGAAGAAAGTGAGAGAAAACCTTCCCACAATAAGGTAAGGTCATTCCACAATCGTGTGCTGAGCTTATCATAAGCCTACTCCTGGATTCTGTTCATTTTCAATCGTGCGCAAATTGCCTCTATCTCCTGGACTCTCCATCGGAAGCATATGGGCTGGGAGAGGAAAGTCACTCATCTCAGACCCGCACCTCATGCCTGTACCGCTGCCAGGCCCCAGTCCCTGCTGCTGCTGCCGCCTTGTCCTGTGTAAAGCTCTGCAGCCAATCTTCCTGAAACCCAAATTTTCATCAGGTCACTGTCGTAGTGGGGATAACCTTGTGCCTCTATTGCCCGGTTATAGGATCAAGATCCTACTCAGGTGGGCATATTCAAAGCTCTCCGATCACACAATCAGACAAGAGCTTATGGTGTACACAGGCACTGGGGTGGAGAGGGAACAACAAGGCACAGTCGTCGTGACCTGGAGGAATGTACAGTCTACTGAGGCTGGGGGTGCGGGAGGAATCAACCAGTAACTAATTAAATCATGACAGTCTTGCAGATGGCTATAAAAAGGACTGAGTATCTTGGGAGTGTGCAATGGGTCACCTACCTTAGTCTGTGGAGTCAGGCAACTAAGACTTCCCTGAAGCAGTGATGCTCAAGGGGAGATGTGAAAACTGAGTAGCAGTTAGCTAGGAAAAGAAAGGAGCGAAGATTCCAGAGTGGGGAGCAGGCCCTGAGTGAGCGAGATCGTGGGACTGTAGAACTTAGTGGGAGCTGGGAGAGCGAGGATGAGACTGGTACCAGTTAGGGCCGGGGACCCAGGACAGGGGGAAGAAGAGGTGCCAGAAGACAGACTTAGATGGGGAAGCAGAGGAAACAGGATAGGGTATGAGGATCCTGGAATCCCAGGCCAACAAGATTGGGTTCTATCCTGGAGGCAATGGGAAGGCTTTGAAGGAGGGAGTTGGCATGACCAGACCTAAGTTTTAGAAAATTCATCCTGTGTGCAGGGTTAAGTGCATGTGGGTCAGAGATGGTGAGGTCAAGGGCAAAGAGACCAGCTGGAAGACTACGGCAATAGTGTAAGTAGGACAGAATGAGGGCCTGGTGGGGAGGAGGCGAAGATGTGGCAGAGCGTAGGAAGGCAGAGGGGACTGGACACGTTCAATTGGGACCACCAGCATTTGATGGGGGATTAGGCTCCTGGGCAAGAATGTGGTGACCCTAGGAGAGTGTGAAGCATAAAAAGAAGAAAAATTCAAGAGTGAGACTGGGGTAAGCCCAGTATTTAAAGACTGGACAGAGAAAGGACCCAGTCGAGAGGGCTAGTGGGAAGTAGTGGGAGAACAAAGAGAGAACAATGCATTTCTCGAAAGAGAAAGAAGATATTTCAACGAAGTGGTTAATAGCATTTAAACAAAGACTAAAGAAATAGCTGCTGGATTTGGCGAAGGAAACCACTGATGACTTTACTAAGGATAATTTTGGTAGTAAAGTGGGAGAGGCAAAAGCCAGATTTAAGCGTATTATAGAACAAAGGAGAAACAAAGAAGTTGAGAAAACAGGGGAAGCCACCTACTGCAGGACCTTTGGTGGGAAAAGCAAGGAGACAAGGCTGCGCCTTAAGAGAAATGCATGATAGCAGGACTGTTTAAAGGAACTGGCCCATCACTGGAGGGGGTTAGGCAGACTGGACAAACTTGAGGGATGCCAGAGGATGGATTCCTCCAACAGCTGTGGGAGTAAGAGAGATGACCTCTAAACTCCATTCCAAATCTGAGATTCCATGCCTTTCTGGAAAATGAGACACAGCCAAACAGCCATTTCTACCGTCTGCTTAGAATTGGGAGCCAGACTTCAGCATCAGGATATCAGGATGAGAAGGGAGCACTCTCCCGTGTCTCTCGGACATGAGTCAAGGAGCACATACATCTTCCAGAAAGGGGTATCTGAACTGGAGGTCACGTGGCTCAGGCTAGAGAAAAGGACTCAAGAAGGAGGAATGGCCAGGAGGTAACCGGTTGCCTCTCCCTAAGAGAACGTCAGCTCCCAGGGGAGGGAGCCAAGGAAAGAGGATCAGGCTGAAAACAGATTGCATAACAGCGGGGCCAACCCACCCTCCTTCCTCTGTGCCTCTTCCCCCAGGACTGAGGCATTGCTGCCCTAGGCTCACAGCTGACAGGGAAGCAGAGAACACGCTGTGCCTCCACTTCCCCACTACTGGTGGGCACTGGCCTTGCCAGCTGCTGCGGCAGCCTTCCTGGGAGCCAGCATCTCCACTGCCTATGCCACCTCAGCTCCCGGCCCAGGAACGCAGAGCAGCGAGGGGAGGAGGAAAGACAGACAGACTGATGGCAAAAAAAGAAGCACAAGGGAGAGAGAGAGAGAAACAAAGAGATGCTGTGAACAATGAGGAAATAGCCCTCTCTTACTACAGCATGAGTGAGTGTGTGCATGTGAGAGAGAGAGAGAGAAAGAGAGAGACCTGGGTTCTACATCTGACACCCCCCACCCCGACCCCAGCAAATCCCTTCACCTCTTTGGACATTAATTGCCGTATGTGCAAAATGAGACAAGTGGATTAGAAGATGCCTAAGGTTCCTTTCAGGTTGAAAATCCTGTGTTTCTCAAATTCTGCATCTGTATATATAGAGCACCCCCAGAGGCCAAAAGCATTAGCAACACAAAGAAAATACAATAAACCCCAATGAGGAGGATGCACTCACACGTGCGTCCCTGACAAGCACGTGCACACACACGTGCGCACACACAGGAGGGTGGGTGCTATGTTGAGGGGTGTGCCCATCAGTGACGAAAGCGGCTGAAGTACATTGGAACATTACACACAAAATCTGTCTGATCAGTTTCCAGTCAAGCCTCCTTTACATACTAGTAAATGCTAAATCTCAACTAACCTAAATATTTGACAAATGAATCATTTTAGATTGTCAAGCTTTCTAAGTAGCTAAGGATTTACTCTTCAAATGATCAAAACTAGTTTTGAAAGCCACCCCAGAGGGAAATCTTTGTTTTTTCGTCTTATAAATGTTTGAAGCAGACTTTGAGGAAGCTGACTTCACTGTGGGTCCTCGGTGGCACTGGTGGTCTTGCTGCTGTGTCAGACACGCTGCCGCGCTGTGCCCAGGCTGGGCTCACAAAGCGACTAGGCTGCAGGACCATCCTCCAGCGTCCCCGGGCCTGGGGAGTGGGAAACAGACCACAGAAGCCTTCTGATCTGGGGAGCAGACAATGAGGAAGGGCAGGTGTTACTCTGGCTGCTGCCTCGCACCTTCCTCCCACCCCAGAGCTGGACCTGAAGCACAGAACGGGGAGGGAAGAGAGAAAAGCACATTTTCAAAGGAAGCTGAAGCTGGGGACTAGGTGGCACCTCCTGTTTGGGCAGCTCTGGGCAAACTGGGCCACCACTCAGAGAGGTAAAAGGAGAGTGGGTTTAGGCAGAAAGATGGGTTTCAACAGATTTCATCAATTCTTTCTCCCTGTCCATCCTACCTACCTGCAGTGCAGGAGAATTCCAGAAGCTGTCTGGCTGCATCCTGGGGTGGGAAATGCAGGAAGAGCACTGGAAACCAGGGTCAATCCCGGGTCCCCCGGGTAAGGGTGACAGGTTGTAGGTGGGTGTAGGAGGTGCTGGGACCCAGGGGTTCCCTTGACCATGACGTCCAGCTGGGATTGGTGGGCAGAGTAGCCTGCAGCTCCCACTCTGCGGTCCCCAGAAGGGAGAGCATGGCTACCACACCCCAAGGAGCCCATCCAGGCGCCCTCCCACTTCGAGGTATGTCAGGTTCCCCCTACCTCAGATGCCATCTTGGCTAGAGGCGAGAGGGGAAGAAAACCCTCCAGAGATGGAGGATTTGCCCATATAAGACTGGAGGATGCCGAAAGGAGAGTGGGTGACCTTTACCAAGCACGTTTGGAGTTTTCCCCTCCCCCAGCATGGCAAAGACTGGGCCCTGGGGCCTGGAGCAAATGGGTAGAGGAAACAAAGGCCACTGCGTGTTCACCCCTCTCAGTGCAAAGTCCCCAAGTGCTGCTGTGGGTGGTAGCTGGCGAGGCTGGTCCTGGCCCCTCTCCTCACCTGTGCTGCCCCTGCCCGGGGGTCTCTTCCCACCCCTTCCTGAGAGGTCTCACCCCAGGGCTACAGGCCAGCCTGAGAGGAGGGCAGGGCTGCGAGAGGCCAGAAAGATGCTGGGGCAGGGAGGGTGTCAGCACCCGGGCAGCCGGCTGGAGGCCAAGAGACAAGGCCCACCGCCTCCCTCAGAAGAGGGAAGGCTGGCTCCTTCCTGAGGCACCAGACGCCTTCAGGCCAGCCTCAGACTTAACCTGTAAGAGGTGAGGGGCCAGAGAAGGACTCAGGCACCCCCAAAACTTTTTCCCAACAAAGTCTTCTGGATGAGAATCTGTTTCCAAGACAAGGATTGAAAAATGCAAGCGGCTGTGAGGAACATTCAGGCAAAGGGTGAGTGAGCCTGGAAGGAGGCAGGGATTGTCCTCTGGGCAGGGCTGGGGAGGAGGATCCGGCCTGGAGCCTGCACAGGTGTGTGGACCCAACAAAGACTGGGCCACAGGCCTCCTGTACCTCCTCCGCCAACAGCCCAAGCCCAATGTGACTGCCAGTAAGACAGCAGCCCAGAGGACCCCCTGGTGATGGCCTTCAGAGTCCCTCTGAGCCCTCAGGTGCCTCTGGCCTGATGCTCAGGAGACCCCTAACTCTACTCACCACAAGCCCTAACAGGCCCCACAGCCATTGTCATGACAGTTCTCCAAACTATGTGGACACGCACACACGCATACACTCACTGACACACAGATGCACACCAGGACAACCAGCACTCAGGATAAGGGTCCTCACTTAGGGTCTGGACACCCTCTTTTGTCCCCAGTCATTTAATTAATAGATTCTGAATGGTGTGAAAATACCAACACCCTCAGGTCCTGCCATCCCCTAGTGGTTGCAAGGGTCCTGCGTGTTCTTTCACAGCTGAAAATTAGATTTTTATCATCATCATAACCACCATGAGAGCCAGGGGGAGCTGTAGAGAGAACCCAAATGTCGACCGCACAGATGGGTGTGGGCCCTTGTCAGGAGCAGCAAGGATCCGGCCCAAGGAGAGATGCTCATGAGACTACGAGTCAAAGCTGGGAAGGGGAGACTGGAACTACGACCAAGGCTCAGCTCATCCAGTCTGCACACAGAGATGCTCCTGAGTCAAAAGGGCAGAGGAGGGGAGAGCAGGGAAACTCATGCTCTGCCCAATAGGGCCGAGGGCACCTGGCGCCCGCTCAACAGCTGTAAGGGTTCAGAGTAGCAGAGATCAGGGCTACTGCAGTGGGAGAGGTAACTTTCCAAAAGAGGTGGCACTGAGCAGAGCCACCAAGGCGGGGCAGGACTTGTTCTGAAGAGAGCTGACAGCACAGCATAAGGATGAAATAAGTGAGCCGTGGAATCAGCCAGCCTGATTTTGAATTTTCGCTCTGTCACTTCCTGGGTGTGTGACCCTGGGAAAGACACCTAACCTCTCTGATCTTTCAGTGGCCTGGTATGTAAAATGCCAATGCCTCTCTATCAGGATGCAGAGAGGAGGAACTAAGCCTGCAAAGGGGCTGGGCTGTAGTAAGCAGCAGGTAGCCTAGGGTAAGGGTAAACAAAGGCGCAGACACGGAACCGAAGACAAGTGCATGCATAGGGCCAGGGGCCAGAGGATGAGGATGGCTGTGGACAGCCCAGAGGGCCAGGCCCCAGAACGGAGGGGCACCAAGGCTGGATGAGGCCTGGAGGGGGCCGCCTCTGAGGCCCCGTCTCTGAAGAAGCTGCAGCCGTGGAGGTGGCAGCCCTGCCAAACAGGTTGTCAGTCCAGCCCTTCGGGGGCTTTCTTCCCATGGTGGTGACTCTGACAGGGAAATCAGCAGGCTAGCCATGCGGGCCTGGGCAGCACAACAGACAAGGCCCTAGGGACAGCTTAAGTGGACAATAATTGCAGGTTATTATATACCGGGCTGCAGCCAAAGCCAGGCAGCTATTAAGTGTGATTGGGAGAAATAATCAAGAGGAGGAGGATGGATGTGAGAACTGGGTTGCTCCTTCTGTTCTCAGGGCTGCTCTGAGGCTGTGCAGGGGCTGTGCAGAGGCAAGGATGGGGTACATAGGGAGAGGAGCCGATCTACACTCTAAACACCCTACATTCCAGGCACAATTCCTTCTGATCCTCCCCAGTCCCCACAGGTTGTACAGAGCAAGGATTACCATCCCCATCTCATGAATCAGAGAATGAAGTCCAGAGAGGGGAAGCGGGTGACCCAAGGGCACACAGCGAGTCTCTCCTGAGTCCGGTCTGAGACCAAATTGAGCCCTCTCTGTTGTTGGTGGCCACAGAAGTGACTCCTGGCACAAAACCCCATCAGGACCTGGCTCTGCCCTCAGTGGGGGTCATCTCCAAACCAGGACTGGGAGCAGTCATTAAAACCCAGAAGGGGCACAGATCCCACCGTGTGGACACCAGCTCATGGGTCAGGACAAGGGCAAGAGACCAGGAAACAGAGGAGGGGGCAGGTTTGTAACAATACGATTGGTTATTTCTTAGAGCTTTATATAGTCATTAGAGACCTCTCTAGGACAGAAGGAGAATTTTATGCCCATTTTATAGATGAGGATACAGAAACCAAGACTTGTTTCAGGCTTGGTGGTGATGCCATCAATAGGAGGGCCCATGTGGAAACTGCTGGTCTAGGGGCTTGTAGACACACCCCACATCTATCTATTGGAGATGACCTTGGCAAAGGTGACCCTTACTCTGCTCTCTGCCGTGAAGCCAGGAGAACTTGTGGTTTTATCCCTGCTAGCCGGAGTTTCTCACTTCATCAGTACCAGAGGTGGTTCTTCTCTTTCTGGGCCAAGGATGGCATGAGGTTGAGCCCCAAGGGGTGACATTGCCCTTGTATGATGTGTGGATCACATAACTTCCTACCGCCCACTCCTCGGCTCCTCCAAGCCCACCACTCATTTTCGAAACAAGGATGAGGCACCCTCGTCCTTGAAGCACAAACACCTTGAGCATCTTCAAGGAGATTCCCAGCGACCAAACCACCCCCTTCATGATCTCCTGGAGGCAATTTTACAGGGAGAGCCCTACTCTGATGGGGACACCAATGGAGGCCAGGAAGGGAACATATATGTCTACCACTGACTCCTGCACACACCGCACCCCAGCAGACGTCAAGGAAAGTCATACACAAGGCTCAGGGCCACCCTCAAGGTTCTGTCAGCCTGCCCCTCCCTCCTGGGATTGCCTCTCCCAGCCAGGCCTCCCCAGTCTGGGTCTGGAAATGACCCTGCTTTGGGTCACATGAGAGCAGAAACCTGGCGCAGGGAGGGATCAATTACATTGTGACTCAGCGAGAGGGCACAGAGCCAGGCAGTGAGTCACAGAGCTCGCCCACCCTTCCCCTTCCCCGGGAGGGGCTGCGCCATGCAGACCTGTGTGGGAGCCTCCCCTGGGTCTGGGCGTGCAGATGTATGGGTGCAGGCCCCCCAACAGTGGGAAGGCGATGGTCGGTGTGCGCTACGGTGTGGACCCCTTCCTAATCCTGAATGCAGGTGGGCATCACTGAGTTGCTGTGTGAGCAGAAATTCATGGGGCCCTTCCCTGACCTGGGCTCCGCTCCCCAAAATGCTCTCCCACAACACTGCACCTCCAACCAGAGACTCACATGCCTCTCATCTCCCCAACATGCTGGGAGGATCATGGAGGAGAGCCCCCAACTGCCCTCTTCTTTAGAAAATCTCCAGGTCCCATTACAGACATTCTAAATGCTATTTTCTGCTACAGCCTGATATTTATACCTGGAAAGGAGAGAATTGGTTCACTTTTTAATGAATACACTCATAATAAACAGAGCTAACATTTATGGGGCACCTACTACATGGTAGGCACTAAATATTTATCACCTCTTTCAGGAATTTATTACCTCTTCATGACGATCACAGGCAATGTTATCATGCCCATGTTTCGGATGACGAAGCTGAGGCTCTCAGAGCAGGACTCCTATGGCCAGTAAGTGACAGATCTGTCTGGTCCCAAAGTCCAACTCCTTCTCTACACAATGCACGCACCTATGCATGTCTGTATGTAAAGTACAGTAATTTAAGTCTTATATTTTAAAGCAATAAATGCCCAGTTGTATTTATAGACTGTATTTCTTTAAATTATACTCTTTGTGCAAAATTTATATTCACATGTCTGTTTAGAAAGAGACCAGAATTTATATATACAACTTTACATACACACTTTGGAAGACTTTAAATTTACTAAAAGAAGGGTGCCATCTTGGAATTATTTGAGGGGGAGTTGGTTCTTGAAAACCTGTGGCATGTTCTTTAAATGTTCCTAGTGGTAGCAAACCTTCATCCTTTGAATGAAGAAATGATCTATGGAGAATGGGCCTGACTCGGCGCCCCTTCCACTCAGCACATGTGTGTCAGGCCAGGGAACGGGGGGTGATTTCTCCCTTCTTGCCCTTTCTTCATGAATACCCAGTGCCTTCTTTGTCCTGGTCTTGTCCCATTGATTTTACTCTTCTATGTTATTACCAGCAGCTGGTCAGCATATGGTCAATGAGACCCCACTCTAAGTCTCTCCTATGATGCAGCCCTGCTGCAAGACCCCCACCCCATGGCCACCTGCCACCCTTGGAACACAAGCCTACATCCCTCCATGGCCTTTAGTGGCCAACTGGACTGCCCACAAGCCCTCTCCGTCCTCATCGGCAGCCTCTCCTTCCCTCTCCCCAGGCTTCGTAGCCACCGCCTCCTGGTCAAGCTCTTGTCAGCATCCAGCTCCTGGGTGAGTGAGCAGGAGGGGTCCACTCAAGGAGGTGAGTCTGAGGCCCCCAGATAACACCTCTTTGAAGATCTAGCCTAGTGTAAATGTCCTGCAGTCTCATCGTCTTGAGCCCCTGTCCAGTTGGGTTCTTCCTGTCCCATCCAGCCACCTCATTCCTTCATGTCACCTGCACAGCCTGTGGACACTGAGTTTCTTAACCCCAGCACGATCTGAAGGATTGCGTGTTAGACTGAGGAGGTCTGGCAGCGGCAGCTGGGAAAATTAAAACTAGAGAGCCCTGTAGAAGCTGTGGATCCAGCATCATTATCAGCGAAATTGTGGCTGTGATAAAGCAACGTTTACCTACAGCATTGTGTGTGTGATAACTACAACTTACTATTCCAGTTTCTAAAGTGAGCCAAGTCTCTGAAAACCTCAGGGCTCATGTACATTAAATTAACATAATTAAAAACTAATTAGTAAAACATCACAATTAAAAGGACTCGCTGTGGCAACACCTCTCAGGTAAGAAGGTGCTGGGGAGGGCCGGCAGCCAGTACAGGGGGCAGGCCCCAGGAAGAGGCCGTGATGTGGGCCCATCCTCCCAGAAGGCTTCCCGCACCCCGGAGCACCTTGAGAAACAGTTCTGCAGCAAGTGAGGACATCTCCTGCGGGTCCAACTCAGGGTCCAACTCAGGCCCTGGCCAGAGGGGAAGGCCCCTCGTCGTCTGTAGGATGTGGGAGGGGCTTCAGCAAGCTCTTCAGCCCCCAAGGGCCTGTTAGTGATGCTCAGATAATATTGGCTGGCCAGACATTGATCTAAGCCTTTTACTTTGCCTGCATTTACTCATTTAATCCTCACAACAACTTTATGAGGTAGGTTCTCTTCCTCTTGCTATTTTACATATAAGGAAACTGAGCCACAGAGATTAAACAACCCGTCCAAGGTCACAGAAGTAGTAAGTGGGACAGGCAGGACCAGAAGCCAAGGAGTCCGGCTTGACCAGCTTTACCTCAAGGCAGCTGTAAGGACTTGCTCCTGTTGGGCTGAGCGCTGCCTGGCCTGGGCTCCTTTTTAAATAATGTAAATTCTTTGGGAAAGATAAGGAGTAAATTCCTAACCCTCTGGTGCAAACAAGTTAACTTTATCTACACCTTTCTGTGGCCCATTTTGACCCTCAGTCTCTACTCTGACCTTAATAATTTTTTACATGAGAACCATGAGTCAGCCTCACAGATATGCCACTGTCTCACCTTCTTGGATGTGATGTGAGGAGGGAAAGGAGGGTGGAAGAAAGAATTGCAGTCTCCATTTTACAGAGGAGAAAGCTGAGGCCAAGAAAGTGATGACTCAGGTCCCTTCTGTCGAGTTCTGTCTCTCCCAGCCCCACCACATGAAGATGCCCTGGCTGGGATTCCAGACCCCTTATCCTGCCTCTTGTGTCCATTTCTTGCCCGCCCTCAGCAAAAGAAGCAAAGCCCTGGGTTGGCATGGAAGCCTGGGAACGGGCAGCATGTCTAGGCTGACCCAAAGGCCCAGAATCTCCCCAATGTGATCCTCACTGCTGCCCAAAGCCAGAGGCCCCACAAGACCAACGCCACGTGTCCCTGGGGCTCAGCTAGCAGGGCAAACAGCCCAGAAGCCCCTCTCTTGCCAGTCCTCGCCCTTGTCTGCGTTCCAGGAGGCAGCTCAGTCCCTTCTGGGGAGCCCCTGGGTTTCCCAAAACACACAACATCCTACCTCTGATTCTCTTCCTCCCTCCATGAGTTTGCTCCCACTACCAGGCCTGCCGTGGGCTCAGGACAGGACAGGGGAGCCCTTCAATCATCTATTCTGAGTGGCAAAAGGCTGCTAATGTTAATAAATTAATAACCTCAATTACTGTTCCTTATATCACTAAACCTTCCCAAATTATTCAAGGACAGAGAAGCCCTAGGCTTGTGGAAAAGACTAGAAAGAGACTTCTGAGGCTGCCTTCAAAGCCCCATCTTCCCCATCTAAACTACCTCCACATAGGAGCCCCTCTAGGAACTGGCACCCTCTCACCATCCCACAAGAACCCAGAGCCCATTACACACTCCAGTCCTGGCAACTCCACCCACTGCCTCAACCTCCACCCTCTCTTCCCAAGCTGACCCAGCCCTTCTTGCAGCACCAGATCAGAGCTATCTCCACCAGAAAGCTTTCCCTGGATGCCCTGCCCACATGAGCTCCACCTTTTCCAGAGCCCCAAGGCACACATCACCAGCTCCTTCCACTCTACCCCTCATTTGGGTGATGCCCTGTGTGGCTACTCTGCTCTCTGAGGCAGACAACACATGAGCTCTCTACAGACAGCAAGTCACTCTCCCTCTCGGCAGCCTCCCCTCACTGTCCTCTGCAGGTCTGGGCAGAGCAGTCATTCCCTAGAGACATTTAATTGGAGGGCTGGTCTGTTAGGGGAGCCCCATGCAGATCGCAGCTCTCTTTTCAGCTTGCTCTCAACACAACCTTGGAGAACCAGCTGCTTCTTGCCATCCTAGCCCTAAGGCCAGGCCATCACCCAGTTCTCTGGCCATCTACCTCATTCTGCATCCTGCCTTCACAAGGGCCCCTCTTTCCTCAAGGCTGCCACCCCCATCACAGATCATTACATACAACTTGGATTGTTTTGTTTTCTCGCATGTGGAACTCCTCAGGTCTGGAAGACATTTAACCATCTGCTGCCATTTGAGGCTCTGGGGCTTTTCACTTGGTATGACTTTGGTCTAACTAGACAGCAGATTCTTCCCAGGCCTGTCCTTTCTCTGCTGCTTCCAGTGGTAGATTGGATGGGCTGGATGAACACAAGAATGACTGGGCAGTGACGCCTCCAAGCCAAGCCAGGCTGCCTTGGGAGGCTGAACTGCTGTGTGTGGTCTAAAATGCGGTTCTCATCCCAAACTCTGACCTCCTTCTCGGAGAGAGTCTGCTGGGGCCCTGTAGCTCCCCATACTTAGGGCCCAGATGAATGAATCCAGCATTGCCCCTCAAAGTCAGATTAGCCATTGGTATCAAGAAAACTCCATCCTGAGCACCAACTGTGTGCCCACGCCTATTGACAGAGGATGCGGGGGAGGAGGAGAGGTCAGATCATTGGATTCCTGCCTTCCACCAGTTCACAGTTTAGACGGAGAGAAGATGCACACACAGGAGAGCCAGAGCAGGTCTGAGGGTGTGTGGCCATGGCCAGGGCTACGGAATGTAGTTCAGTGGATGCCAGAGGGAGGAGAGTGATGGTGGGTGGCTCAGCTGGAGGGAAGCTGAGCACAAGAAGGGCTTCCTTCCTCCTTGAGGAGGAGAAGCAAAGGGAAATGAGGAGCAGGAGGCAATGGCGAGGGCTGCAGAAATACACCACCAGAGCAAAGATCCCCACCCTATGGGGCTTCCTGAATCAGCAACAAAATGTAAACCCAAACGCAGAGAGAAAACGAGAAGCAGTGTTCCCAGCTCCCACTTCCCTTCACCAGCCTTCTCCCTCTCAGTGGATGGAATAATTGTGGCCATGAAGTGGCACTTGGAGAAAAAGTTTTAAATCTGTTTAAATGTCACGGTGAGTAATACTTTGCCCCCATCTTTCCTAATTACATTTCTTTTTGATGACCTAAGGTAAAAAAAAAAAAAAAAAGAACTCCAGTCTATCTAGAATCTCAAGGGCAAGGATACCAAAAAGCCAACCTAACCATGTTCCTTACTATTTTCTCAGGGGTCCTGCTCCTTTACTACATTAGTTTGAGATACCTGTCCATGTTATTTTATCCCCAACACTCTGCTATGGCAGAGAGGTGGGAGCCTAAGAGATCTAGCTCTTTGCCTTTAAGAGATCAATGCCATGGCAGGAGCTGCTTCAGCTGCTGTTGACACAGGGTAGCTCAGTTACTTGGGCCCTGGTGTTCAGGCTGCTTCTGCCCCAGCAAGCAGGTGGGGCATTTCACCACATACCTGCTGGAGGCCTGAGAGGTGAAAATGTGTTTCCCCCTAAGGGGACATAGCCCAAATCCAAAATAAGGCATCCTCAGGTGGGAGAGAAGGGAGGGTGAAGACCTTCACCTGAGAAAGAAGGAGCTCTCCGCAGCTTTGGGTCCACAGTGGAGAGACGCAGGGAGGGGCCGTGCTGCAGGGGGAAGAGGCACAGTCCTGGAGGGAGTTGGCGCTGTATTGATGGAGGAGTTTCTGCGGGCATCTGAAATAACTAGACGCCCCCTTTCATTAACAACTCCACTCTCCCACCCACTCCTGCTCAGGGACTGCTTTTATTTATGTATTGGCTATTATTATTAATAATAATATGATAATGAAAAACCCGTGAATAATTTACTTGGACGGGGGGCAGGGGGGACGCTGGGGTGGTGGCAGGAAGAAGTGGAGGGCGAGCCTCAGCGGCCCTCCTCTGCGCAGGTCCCTCCTTTCCCAGCTCCTCAGCTCACTCCCTTCACTTCCCCTTGTTCTCACTTTGCTTTGAGGGGGTGGCAGGCAGGGAGAGAAAGAGAGACCTAAAGTAGGAACTACTCTCCTAAACTCTCCTGTTATGGCAGAAAATATATTCCACTCCATTGTGAGATCCTGGAAGGTAAGGGCCAGCACCAGGAGATGATGTGGGAGTAGATATTTTGGACAAAGTTATTGGCCTCTGCTGATGTGTCCGGAGGGAAAGGGGAGGAAGAGGTCTCAGGCTGGTGGGTACACACACACACACACGCACACACAAGCAGAGTGTGGAGACAAACAGGGTCTATGGACACAGCCACACTGCATCCACATAAGCACCCACAGTCCTGACAAGACGTATGCACACACCTCCAAGCCACGGGCTCAAACCCTCCCTCAGACCCGCCCAGTGCCTACTGGGGACATGCTGCCTTATTACAGCACGTCCCAGGCACACCAACCACACAGTCACATGGCAGAGAGGCTCTATGTGTGAGTTTCTGTTCCATTCCATCAACTTGGGCGATTCTTAGACTATCAAGTAACACTGGATAATGTAATCCCGGGAACCGAGTTATGAATCAACTATACTTACACACGATTCCATCAAGCAAAGGCAGGAGAAGCTTAAAATGAAAGGAGGAAGTTCCACAGTTCTCAGAATTGTACTTGCTGTTTGGTTTGGGCCCTGGATCCTCAGGGAGAGGTGTCCCGGGTGGGCTGGGGGCCTGGGGCTGCGAACCTCGGGGCCTCCTTGGGCCTCTTCCCAGCGCTGGAGAGCTCCGCGTTGTGGTTGTACCAAACGGGCTTGGTCTCGATTTTCAGGAAGCCGGGTCTCATTTCTTTAGATAAAATTTTAAACATATCGTTTACTAACGTCATGTCATCCGAGGGCAAGAAAAGAAACCCAGAACCCCCAAAAGGGGCCGGTGGC